AGATTGGACATTGTGAGGCAAATCTGCTAGTGATGAAACCATACTTGTCAATGCTCAATCCTATTGAGTATATATGGAGCTTGATTGAGGGAAAATTCAAGCTGGATTTGAGCGATAATTATCCCAGTCTCCTGTAAGCAGTAATCGGTCAAACATAAGGACTAACGAGGTGCGTGAAACATTCTGTTCCGAAAGCAACGTCGTCGATCTCCGGTGATCATTGTGTTACATTCACAGACATCTTACATGCTTGCTTTTGAAGGTGAGAACATAAGAGACCATTGAGATTCGCTCAAACAGAGAACCTCGAAACTGCTCCTTTCAGGGCATCCAAAAAATGATTTCTTGATTATTGCCTTGATTTAATGACTTACTCGGTAACGTAGTTTCCGTTCATGTAAACAGTATACTTTGAATGATTTGCGGGTTAAAATCCATCCTAAAACGGTATAGTTTTCGGTTATATGAATTGGAATACTGCAAAGGAACTCCTCAGGTGGCCACAAGCACCCAATGATACCTCTTTCAAATTCCGTCAAAAAAACTTACTGTGGTGATTCGGATCTACGAGATCACGCCTGCCCTGGAACAGCGCAGTACAGTTTCCAGACATTGGTAATCAATCGGCCTTGAGCAATGACGCCAGTAGCACGTGCACAGCCTCCGGATACACGGCATTGGTAGACCGTTCCAGCCAATCAGATACAATGCAGAGAAGAGCAGTATGACACAAGATGTGATGCAATATGATTGGTGGAAACTAAGGTAGACAATGATCTTTTCTTGTGTACATATATATTCACTTTCATTTCCTTCAATAAACGACTTTGTGATTCGCCTGTCTTGTGGCCTTTTTCCTCGCGTCTCAATCCTGCGGGTTATTGCGAGTTCGAGCCATTGCGGTCCAGTGCCATCGGTTTTCTAATTCGTGTTCCGTGATTCCTATTGCGTAGTTTGTGTCCGGAATTCTGTGCGTAAATTCACTACTAGTACTTCTATTACCATTACACTTACCTACTTAAGTACCAATTCACTTCTTTTCTTCCTTACTGTCTTACTTATTAAATAATTTTCAATCGCGTATACGAATCCAAGCGGGCAATTTTTCTATCCATCAAAATAAAGACGAGAGGAATAACATCACAAAGGAAGAGTTACCATTTAAAGAAAAATGGTCTCGCAGTAGTCTGCTTATATTCGTGGTCTCAAACCAGTTGAGGAGCAGTGACAAGTTCTTATGAATTAATTATATATAAACCTCTGGTTTCGAATGTATAAAGGTTTACATTTACTGAGGTTGACAGAAGGGAAAATGGAGGTCAGTAGACAACCATCAGAGATATGTGAAGTGCTGCGAACATTCAGCTTTTGACAGGGCACAAGAATTAAGAAGCGAAAAGGTGCGAAGCACTTTTCAGTGACCTAGACCTGTGATTTTTCAGTAGCAATGCAAATCCATCGATACTGGTGCATCAAGTTTAGAACTTGAGCTTTAAACACAAGGCGTTTGATCAGACAAATTTACTTCATCAATGTGCCGGAAAGGACATCTCTCAGATCATGGGTTCAAAATTCGGCGGGATTGATACATTCGCACTGTTGATGGAATCTAATACGGTGGAAACGGTTTTACAGTGCTTATTAATTTTTAAATTCCAGTTTCCTTGACACCATAAAGTCGTAATCTTTCATGCGATTTGATTGTATCAACCAAAGTTCGGAATTTCTCAAATCCAGTCAGAATCCAGAAGGCCAATGATGAGATTAGCGAGTTAAAATGATTACAGAAAACTTTGAAAGCTTGACTGTGTTACATCGTGTCGTGCTGGTTGGATTTTTCGCTAGTTGAAGACTCTTTCAGTGAATATTCATAAAAAAAGGCACTTGGTTTGACCTGAAAAGCCTTTCAATAATTCGCCACCCGAGAAAATCCTGATCTGATATCTATGACGTAAAGAATCCTCATGATGATTTTTACGACACGAAGTGGCAACACATATACAGGTATTGACCAAACTCGTGCAACATCCTGATTTTCGTCACATTTGTTCCTCTCAATGCTTCGTTTTTCCAGCCTCATTCACGGGATTGAATATGATATTGCCCCACATCAGATGCAACATACCTGATATAATATCCACTTATGTCACCGCTTCTGTTAGCCACATGCCCTTAAAATGTACAATTTCGCGATTTCAACGATTTTTGCTAATGCATCAGCTGTAAGATAACAAGGTTACAGTAGAAAACATAACTGTAATTTATTTATTAACATGACTCATAGACTTTGTACAGGTATTGCACTTTCATCTCATCCATGTACCATTTGCTCCTCTTCGTTTCTGTGCACTGGAGGCAGTCGCTTTAGGATGGAATCCACCAAGTTGACTGCCAAACATAATTTGCAAGTTTCCCCTAATACACCGCACATCCTTAACACCGGTGACCTGTGGCAAGGTAGCTGACTTATCCCTGTTTCTGATAGAGAGATAAGTTTCCGAATAAAACAAAAATCCCAGCTGCTGCACCTTAATAAAACTAATTTTACATTGAACCTGATCCGTCTAGAAACTGCATAAACGTGAAAAAATAATATTTTGGTCCAACCGTTTTCTATCACCAAGCTCTAGCGAGCTGATGTACCTTCATATGCGAAAAATATGACTTCAGCGAATGCATTTTTGGAGTGACAGTTATCAAAAACCTCCCTTATCAGTGCAGAAAGTTTTGCTATGTCCGAATTGGCGTACGCAGGAGACCAACAACAATGCGCTCAATAATCATATCCCTTCCAACTCGTTAGGCGGTGTAAATATTTAATTATTCGACAGGTAAAATGAAATTCATTAGAAAACTGGCTCAGTAGATCAGCTTCAACAATATGCTGAATTACTTGTTGGCCACCAGTGAGATAAACCCATTGCCAAATGGGCGGGCGACGCGATTTGAATTTGTTGGTCAAATCAATACACGCTATGCTTTGTTGGGCGTTCGATAACAGCTTTATATCACGTGGCCTCAGCTGCATTTCAAATTGAGCTATCATTTTCCAGATGAAAGCG